ACATCAGTGCCAAAGGATTCTTTTTTTTGTTCAGTTGTTGCACCAATTTCCTTGACTTCAAGCAACATTTAACTGAATTCCTGTTCGAATGCTGATTTCGTCCAGGATACACCTCATAGGTCTTAAGGTCATTTATTTATTCATCATTCCCAGTTATCTATATCAGTTTCCAGCATCTGCTTGCTCTTGGATATTTGAATAACAAGAGGTGCATGTCTTCTTGTTCTTCTCAACAAAGGTCATAGATTGTTTTCGGCTCCACCATTCTTTTTCGTTGAGCTGGTCATTTGTACAAAGAAATCCGAACCAGGATCTGTACAGGAAATTCCTGAAGTTAAGACTTGATTGGCAGCTTCCAAGTAAACTTCCAATTTTTCTTTATTCTATTGTTCCCTCTAGTTGATTTTACTGTCTCCATGAGCTTCTATTCTCTTTTTTTTTTCCAAAAATCATCTTGGAGATTCTGTAATGCTTACTCTGAAACTCTTTGTTTATAGAGGTTAAGCTAGGATGGTTCTGTAGACTTCTCTGACTGAGAATTGGCTCTTGTGGTTCGAGTGTCATATAAGTGTATCCCTACACCATGTTGGCTTGGGATCTTTAGAATTAACTATGCGTGTATGTATATGCGTTATGTGTAAAGTAAATAAACTGGCACCCTTATGCAGATTGGTTTTCTTGCTGCCCAAGAAAGTCCTCGTTAGGAAAGTAAATAACCCGTCAATATATGGAGTTGGACATGTCGAGGATTATTGGAGTATCATTGGGGGATTTGAGGCCTGAATTTTGAGCTTTCAAGCAAACTTGTGTATTCGTCGAGTATTTGTGAATTCACGGTTATCATCTCTCTGAGACGCAAACATGTGACCCTTACTCGAAGCTGAAAGACGGGATTCTTGACTTCACTTATGCTTTCAAATGTCAAATTCCCCCATTTGCTTATGGATCGATATGCATACAATGTACAACCGTTCGATGGTTTTATTTTGAGCTCGAGGACTATCGGATCATTTTCTCTATTCCCACCAAACGAACACCATTGATATACAGTGGTGCACCACCGTGTACAGTATGCGTTGTCTTTTCCTTATTTTCTTTTTCTCTTATTTCTTTGCTTGTGTGCGTGCTTGTGTGACTTGTATTTTCGTTCATTTCTTGTTTATCACATGAGCTTGTGTAATAATGTGCTCTTTCCGTATGCTTCTTAGTCAAGAAATGAGGACATTGCTTTGTTTTAAGTGTGGGGGAGGATTTTTCGTGATTATGCATGTTTAGGTGTTTTTCTTTTATCTTAGGTGCTTTATTTTCATGTTCATTGTGTTTGGACCGATTTTTGTCTAGTTTTTGTGTGTTTGTTTCGGTTCCCCCCTCACGAAGCTCAATGTTTGTTCAAAAGACAAGATAGCTTAGTGGTGACTTGAGATTGTTGATTGGTGCCATTATTAATGTTTATGTTTATGTACTTGATGAATTGGACGGTTTCTTAAAATTAAATGACGATTTGTTTACATTGGAACTCGCATGTGAATTCATGGAATTGTATTGTCCCTTGTTTGTTCTCGATTGATCGTCTTGAGACATGCTTGCCTTATGTTCGATTATTCTAAACGTGTTATGCTATATATTTATTGTGTTTTTGTGCTTATTTTTGTGTGTTTTATGTACTTTAGTCGAGTCTTTTATGTTCGTTTTTGTGTTTTGGCGCATTTTCTCGTCTCTTTTGGTGTTGATTAGGTCCATTTTGCCGATTTTGGAAAGTCGAGCTGTCCAACCCGACTGAACCGAGCCGTCCGAGCAGAGTAAGCTGAGCCGACCCGACTGAGCCTATCAAGCCACCCGAGATGCT